CGAAGTTTTTTTCTCTAATTCAAACCCAAAAGAAAGGGACGACACATCATATGGTTGTTGTATGTCCGGTTTCTAACTTGGGAAAATTTGTCCCGATGTTGCCTAACACAAGCAAGATATGCTTGAAACGGAGATAATGTTCTTAAACAAGACTTGTCAAAAATTATGTCCCAAATTATTATATCTTGCTGAGCTGGGACAGCTTGATATATAAACTTCAATTTCTGCAAAGATCAGCCTTTTAACAAGGTTTGTATCTAATGATGTCCCAAGATTGGGAAAATTCATTTCTCTGCTTAAAACTCTAAACCTAGCTATGCTAGGACAGTATGATACAAAATTCAAAATGTCTGCTTATTGATGGGGAACAAAAGTCCTTTAAGAAGGCTTTGTATGTTCGGAAATTGGAACATTCAGTTATCTGCTTACTTGAGAGTATCTTGCTGAGCCTGGACAGCTTGATATATACTTCATATTCTGCAAAAGATATGCCATTAACAAGGCTTACAAAGATCTACCTTTTAACAAGGTTTGTATCTAATGATGTCCCAAGATTGGGAAAATTCGATTCTCTGCTTAAAACTCTAAATCTAGCTCTGCTAGACAGTATGATACAAAATTCAAGATGTCTGCTTATTGATGGGGGGAATAAGATAAATTCAAGTTTCTGCTTAGGCCTTTGAAAAGGCTTTCTGGAATTATGTTCCAAGATTAGGAAATTCAACCTTCTGCATACCTTGCTGGGCTGGGACAGCGTCATATCATCTGCTTAAATCCGGCGACTTTTCGAATTGTGTCCCAACATTGGGAACTTCAAGTTTCTGCAAAAACTCTAACTTGTTGATGTAGGACAACATATTATCCAATCCCCTGCAATTATCTGTGGGGACTTTATGAATAAAGGATTAAATCCACTGCTTGATGTGCTTGGACAATGTATAGAGAGTATACAAACTTCTACATATGAATCTGACGTCTCAAGGAGCAGGTATGTATTTCATCTCTAACTATATTGTACTCTTTTGTGTAGTTGCTTATTAATTTGTGTGCGCCAAACCAGCGCAATTTTGAATTTAAGCTTTGATCTACAGCAATAATGGTAATGTCATATTTTTCTATTTACATACACTTGTTAGGTCATTGAAGAATATATATATCAATCTCTGTTTGTGTCATTATTTTTTAATTACTTCTTTTTGGTGATTGATTCTTATTCAGCATTTTGAGCCTTATCTTTTCTCTCTCGCTCTCTTTACCTTGCTTTCGCTCTCTTTACCTTGCTTATTAATTTATGTGCGTCAAACCAGCGCAATGTTGAATTTAAGCTTATTATTCAACAATAATGGTAATGTCATTTTTTTCTATTTACATACACATGTTACGTCATTCAAGAATATATCAATCTCTATTTGTCTCATTCTGTTCTAATTACATATTTTTGGTGATTGATTCTTATTTGGTATTTTAGCCTTATCTTTTCTCTCTCGCTCTCTCTACCTTGGTTTCAAGTATTTAGTGTTATTGGTTGCATTTGAATTGCTCTATTGGTAAGAGTTGTTCTGGTAGAGTATCTAATCCTTTATATGGAACTTCTAATTTTGGTGGCGACTTCTGGTT